ATTAGAGAACTGTTCAAAATAAATGTAGTCTCTATTTCAAAATTAGAGGACTGCATTTATTTTGAAACATGGAATCAGAACGACTTATTCTTTTTGGTTTCGTGAGAATTAAATTTCAAAATATATTATTCATTTAATTTTGTTTTACAAATATTCGAGATGTAATTTATTTAGCAGGAATATACTATCCTTCTCGCATAACCGGTACGTGAAAACGAAGTGGCACGATGATAGCCCCGATCTCGCGGGGCGAATACGTGTGCGGTCTCGCGGCAAAGTCGCGAGACCGAGCTGTCTCGCGCGGCCAACGAGGGATACCGCCGCACCAGCGCCAATCATTATCGGATAATGATCCTGATTAGCAATTAAGTAGTAATTAGCTAATCTGATTAGTGGTTAATTAATTATTATATAATTCACTAATAAATAATTAATCACTAATTAATTGCTAAGAATTCACCCTGCTGGTCTCGCATGATGGTTGTGCGAGATCAACGGTATATTTTTGCTAGCGAAGTTTTGTTCCGAATATTTGTGAATAAAATAGAATGAACAATATATTTTCAAATTTAATTTGGTTTCATGAGTCTTGATGTTTTGGTCACGGTTTTCAAAATATACCTTCGATCATGTACATTTGGAACACAAATAGGAAAAATATACAATTTTGCTAAAAAGCACATTTCAAAGCAAAGTATTATAAATGATAAGAAAACCAAAGAAAATGTCTATTTGGTTAGGTCACAAAAATTACACATGAGTTAGATGAGAAAAATAGAGAAATAATTTTTTCAAGAGGTGGAACTCTCGCTAACCTTGCTCCAAAATGTATATGTATCAAGCCATTCCAAAAGAATTTTGTATGATTTAGAAAGCTCCAATTATTTGTTTCAAGTGGCCAAATAGGAAAACTTGGTACATGATTGAAACTCTAAATGTCTCCACAAGTTCTTTTCAAATACAACGGATACCTAATTTATGCGCAACTTGAGAGTTGGGATACATTTTTTTTTTGTCCATATTGTGCTAGAACGAATCGCCAATTAACGGTGTGGTTTTTTTCCATGCTGGCGACCCTACTTACAGTATTGTACGGTGAAACGACATGGGACGTTGATGTACTTGTCGACTGAGGTCCCGTAGGTGGAGCTTGAAATTATAAGGTTTGTTTGAAGTATTTTTAGTAGCCGTGTTTTCCTTAAAAATCTTCAGCTTCTCTAAATAGTATAGATTTTTATTTAGATTCTAAGAATTTATAGTTATAAAATCTATAAAATAAAATAGAAGTCAGAAATAAACTGAAAAACTCAGTTTTTTTTATGAAGATTCTCATAAACTGATCATCAATCAATTATTTCTTAGAATATTAAGCTTTTTCTCAAATATGGCCTGAATCACCTTGTGAGTTAGCTGCCGATAACAATTTAACAAAATAGAATTCTTAATTTTTATTTCTAATTTATTCTCTATATTCTGTAGTTACTGATTTTCTTAAATCTAGATATATATGAAGCTAAATTAGTTAAAGAGTTGGGAGATGACATCTACTAGCAGCTGGAGTAGTATCTAAACATGTAGGCGCAGTAACGGTTCAGCCGTTCAAGGTAGCTGCAAGCCTGCAATCAAAAAAGATAACTGTGGAGGATTTGTAGTGTTCGGCGGCCTCTCTCCGCCGTCCAATATTTTTGTCAGTGCCCCACACAATGATCAATGATGTGAAGGAAGTCTGGATGGACGAACGAGAGCAATTGATCAGTCATGATGTTGACGACTAATTAGCAAAATTTCATTTGACGTATATGTAACCAATACAGTATTAGATTCGTGACTACAGTAATCAATAAAGTTTTGGGTGGTACTCCATGCATGTTGCATATCAACCTTACTGGTGCGATTTACGGCTAGCATTCCATGCATGACAACCGTTTCAGAATATCACTACTACTTATTTTTGGAAGGACGCGATTACAAAGCTAGTGGTAGCTGTATTGTCTAAACCAGCTACCACTCCATTTATAAGAGACCCTACCCATCTATTATATGCTTCAACTAAAAATTTCTCTTAAACTACTTATCCGATCTACGATCCGATTACACCATTGTGTTCGTAACAATTAAATCTTTATAACAAGATCTCACATGATTATATTTTGATAAAAAAATATAAATTACTTTTATGATATATCTAAATTACTTTTAGATTTCACTAAATTACTTCTTAGACATATAAAAGTAAATTCAATAAAGCCTAAAAGTAATTTACATATATTATAGAAGTAACTTATAACAAAAAGAGAGTAATTTTAATGCATGCCATTTTTCACTGGATGTGACTACACAACTAGTGGTAGCTGGTTTGTACTCCATCTAATGTCTCCTTTCAACTTGAAAAATGTAATAGTATGTATCTTTTTTTTAATCTTTTTAATAGCTTATATCTTTAAAAAAAGATACACTACTAGGCAAATGCCTGGTAGTATTCATTTCAAAAAAAACTTATATCTTTTAAATCACATATTACTTCTAATGTCATGATAAAGTTACTTCCGTTTTGTTTTAAGTTACTTTTATAATATATGTAAATTACTTTTAGACTTTATTAAATTTACTTTTATATGTCTAAGAAGTAATTTAGTCATATCTAAAAGTAACTTATATATATATATATATATATATATATATATATATATATATATATATATATATATATATATATATATATATATATATATATATATATATATGATAAAAGTAACTTACGTATATAATAAAAGTAATTTATAAATATAAATATTTTTTCGTCGTAATATACTCATGTAAGATCTTGTTGTGAAGATTTAATTGTAACGAACGTAATGGTGTAATCGAATTAAAAATCGGATAAATAATTTGAGAGAAAACTTTATTTGAAGAGGAAAAATACATGCATGTCTATTGAGAAATAAGGCACAAAGTATGTTGATCCTTCTCGTTGTGCCATGAGAGCACAGCCACGCGGATGGACGATAGGCGCAATCGGAGGGGTGTGAGACACGTCGCTTGATACGACTAAAACGAGAAACCTCTCAGTTTAGATTCTATGTTTTTGGAACTAAACAGGGCCTTAGTTTACTACTTAGTTTGTTGACGAGAATGTTTTACGAGTAGAAAGTTGGACGTGCCAACGAGTACGACTAGCAAAGTTAGTTTGTCTACGTACAATCAATGTAAAAGCTGTGTAGTACTTCATTCGTTTCATATTATATAAGATTTTCTAGTATTGCCCATATACATATATATATACATGTTAATGAATATATATATATATATGCGTATATATATATATATGTGTATATATATATATGTGTATGTATATATATGTATATGTGTATATGTATATGTATATATATGTATATGTATATATGTATATGTATATATATATGTATATATATATATATATGTATATATATATGTGTATATATATATATATGTATATGTGTATATATATATATGTATATGTATGTATGTATGTATATGTGTATATGTATATATGTATATGTGTATATGTATATATGTATATATGTATATATGTATATGTATATATGTATATATGTATATATATATATATATGTATATATATATAGGAAGGCTATTATGTACTCCCGGGAGTACATACTCCCTACCCTCGTACCGTTGATTACCTTTGAGATTTGTACCTGATAACGGGTTAGCAGTGAAGGGGACGTGCGGTATCTACCCATTAGTGGATCGTGGATGGCATTTTGTTTTAAAAATTGAATTAATTGACTGCTCGTGTATAACTAATCCATCGGTCTGTACGCAGGTAGTGGGCGGTGAGGAATGGTATTTAAATCATCAAACCACATACTGCTTCATTTGTTCAGGGCTGCAGGAACTTGGTTTGGACCTCCGTAGTCCATCTCGAGGATACGCCGCCGCGCGGCGGTGCTGATTTAGGATGGATAAACAAGTGAAGAACCACAGACCTTCTGATGGTACGGATGGATCAAGGTATGTTGTTCTGTTTCAGTGATTTATTTCAGTATGTGCCGCTGGTTTTTTTTCTCTGAATTTCGCCGTGTGAACTTGAGCAATTCTAAATCATCAATTCAGGGAAATTCTTATGGACGAGCGCAACCCTACCATGGACATAGTAGATGGTATTAGTCAATCTGTCCATGATTCACAACCGGATGGTGGTCAGTCAAGGTTGGATCGTAGCTTCCGTGAATTTAAAACTCTGTAAATGGTAGCCAGATACTGACACATCTTGATTGTGTTATGAAGCCGTGTAGCAATGGAGGAGGACGTGCCGTCGCGGGTTGGATCACATGATTCAGGGCATGGAATTCCAGAGACAAGGTATGTGCATGGCTAGGTGTCAGCTGAGCATTCACTTTAAAGCAGTATATACTACATAGAAATGTTCAGTATGTGTCACATGAGAAAGTTCAGTATATGCTATCTTCTAGGAAAGTTCAGTATGTATCACATAGAAAAGTTCAGTGTGTGCTATATTGCAGAGGAGTTCAGTATGTTGCACAGAAAATTCAGAACATACTATATGCTGTCGTATAACAAAGTTCAGTACATAGCCTCCCATAGAAAAATTCAGTATATATGTGAAAAATTCAGTAAATACTAGTGCGTATCAAAGTTCAGACTACGAATCACTATGGAAAGATTTAGTATACGTGTGGAAAATGCAGTATATGCTATCGTCTAGAAAAATTCAGTACGTAACCCATAGAAAAATTCAGTACATACTATCATTCAACATAAATCAGAAAGAACCCCTCCATTTTAAAAAATGAGTATATACAATCATCTAACAAAGTTCAGAACAAAGCTCCCCATATTTTTTTGTTAGTAGTACAACATATATTTTTTTAAAATTTGCAGTAAGTACTGATTATAAATTAGGTTGTTTTTTGTAAACTACATTTTCAGTTAGTAGTAGTATATGCTATTTTTAAATATAGTGTCTCCAATACAGAAATTTGGTCCCTTCACTGGATTGGACAGAAGGAAACCCATATGAAAAAGAAGGAGCTGGGATACCGATGGAAAGGTTTGTATCAACATGTTACGGATTTTTACGATTTTTTTTGAGCCAGGATATTGGTGGTATTTTCTGAAAACTGATTGTACATTTTCTTTTCAGAATGGTGGTAGATAATGTTGATAGCAGTGCTGTCATACCTCCTGAGTATGCTGATCCTCAAATTCTTACTCCGATGCTGGGACAAAGATTTAAGACTGAGAGGGATGCCTATAATTTTTATAATGTTTATGCTGTTAGTAAAGGATTTGGGATACGACTGGACAAAGATCGCATGAATACTAAAAAGCAGAGAACAATGCGGCAAATATGTTGTTCTCACCAGGTACATACATTATGTAACAATATCTTAGTAGCAGAAATTTACCTAAATAAAGACTTGACGTACTATGTGTTAATTTCGAAATCTTTTATGCAGGGGAGGAACCCAAAAACCAAGAAGCCTTCCGTTCGAATTGGGTGCCCAGCAATGATGAAGATAAATATGTCTGGAGCTGGTAGTGGCTGGTCAGTAACAAAGGTTGTTTCTGCGCACAACCATCCTATGAAAAAAAGTGTAGGAGTTACTAAGAATTATCAGTCGCACAATCAAATAGATGAGGGGACTCGTGGTATTATTGAAGAGATGGTAGACAGTAGTATGAGTCTTACAAATATGTATGGTATGTTGTCTGGGATGCATGGCGGACCTTCCATGGTTCCATTCACGAGAAAAGCTATGGATAGGGTTGCTTATGCAATTAGGCGGGATGAGAGCAGCGATGACATGCAAAAAACACTTGATGTCTTGAAGGATTTGCAAAAAAGGAGCAAGAATTTCTTTTATAGTATACAAGTTGACGAGGCTTGCCGTGTGAAGAACATATTTTGGTCTCATGCTGTGTCCAGATTGAACTTTGAGCATTTTGGTGATGTCATCACATTTGATACTACCTACAAAACAAACAAGTATAATATGCCCTTTGCACCATTTGTTGGTGTAAACAATCACTTTCAGAGCACCTTCTTTGGTTGTGCCCTGCTTAGAGAAGAGACTGAAGAATCATTTACATGGTTATTCAATACATTCAAAGAGTGCATGAATGGGAAGGTTCCTATTGGAATATTAACAGGTATGTGAGTATTTGGCCGAATTTATAATTTGGAATGAATTCGTTATACTTTACTTATTTTAAGTATATGATGGGTTATTCATTGGATGCTAATTATTGTCCTTTATTTTGCAGACAATTGTCCTTCCATGGCAGCTGCCATTAGAACAGTATTTCCCAATACAATCCATCGTGTGTGCAAGTGGCATGTACTGAAGAAAGCAAAGGAATTTATGGGGAACATATACTCCAAGCGTCATACATTCAAGAAAGCATTTCATAAGGTTCTTACGCAGACACTAACAGAGGAGGAGTTTGTTGCGGCTTGGCACAAACTGATTAGAGATTATAAACTGGAAAAAAGTGTTTACTTGCGTCACATATGGGACATAAGGCGTAAATGGGCATTTGTATATTTTTCCCATAGGTTCTTTGCTGGGATGACTACTACACAGAGAAGTGAGTCTGCAAACCATGTGTTTAAGATGTTTGTGTCACCCTCTAGCTCTATGAATGGCTTTGTTAAGAGGTACGACCGGTTTTTCAATGAGAAGCTGCAAAAAGAGGACTCGGAGGAATTCCAAACCAGTAATGTAAGTATCCACTGTGATAGGTTTGTTGACCTCTTTTTATGGATATGTGTAATCAACATTTGGTGTCGCTTGGTGCAGGACAAGGTTGAAATTAAAACAAGGTCACCGATAGAGATTCACGCATCCCAAGTATATACTAGGGCTGTTTTCCAATTGTTCTCTGAGGAGTTAATCGATAGTCTATCTTACATGGTGAAACCTGGGGAGGACGAAAGCACCGTGCAAGTTGTACGGATGAACTCGCAAGAATCATTCCTTAGGAAGGAATATCAGGTGTCTTGTGATTTGGAAAGAGAGGAATTTTCATGCGTTTGCAAGATGTTTGAGCATAAGGGGATTCTGTGCAGCCACATCTTAAGGGTATTTGTTTCTTCTACTGTCTAAACATTTATTTTCATTGGGTCGTACTATATGTTCGGTAGTGTTTGGCTTTTTGAAGTAATGCATTGGTTTGTCCCTTTAGGTACTTGTTCAGTATGGTTTGTCAAGAATTCCAGAGAGGTATATACTGAAAAGATGGACGAAGGATGCTCGGGATACTATACCACCTCATCTACATGGGTACAAAGATGATGTCGATGCTTCACAATCGAGGAGTTACAGACATGTAATGCTGAATAGGAAGACTGTGGAGGTGGCTAAGATTGCTAACAAAGATGTGCAGACATTTAAGATGGCAATGACAGTCATGAATAAGCTTTTGGAGGACATGAAAAATCAGTTATCTTTGGATGATGGTGACAATAGTAGAGAAGCTCCGAAGCGAGCAGCTAGGCATAAATCAAGGTCTACTGTATTGACTGAAGATGGAAACGAAGATGTTGGTGGAGGTGATGAGGACAGTGAGTATGACGTGCCAAGTGAGGACGAGGGTGGAAATTTGACTGCTGATATACTTCCACCGTTGAAAAAGAGAAGCAGAGGAAGACCTAAGGTGAATAGGTATAAATCGGGTGGTGAGGTTGCCAGCCTGAAAAGAAGAAAAGAAGTAGGGATTGAGAAGAAGAACACAACCAATGAGTGTGAGTCCGTTGAAGAAGAAAACCAAGTCATTGATCATGAGGATGAAGTGCCCTTTCCTCGTAGGTTTTGCCACACATGCCACGAAGCTGGTCATAATTCGCGGACTTGTGGCCGGACATCTACGTACAAGAGAAAACTTTAGAATATGGTTCCCTGTAGTTTAGTTGGGACTCCTCTGATTGTTAGAAGTTGTTTTGTTTTAAGTACGTGAACAAATTTTTGAGAGGCGTGTGTTTTTTCATCCTATGAGCAATTTATTAAGATTATGTAACCTGTGGATTGGTCAGTATATACGAACTTAAGTAAAGTATGCTTCTAGTAGTAAATTGTGTCTTTTTTGGGTAGTGTATTTGCACCGGTTAAAAATGGATGTCTGCTGTAATTAGTTTCATTTGGATGATGGTGCTTTCTCTATAAAGAGAGAAAGAGATATAGTATACTGGTATTTATGACGATCATTGTTTGCAAAAGGAGTGTGATTTGGTGTGGATATGAGTTGTTTTTTTAGGTATGGAGATAGAAATTAGCTGTGCAATGTATTGAATCCTCCCGTTCACTGAAATGGACATAATGATCGATAGCAATTGACTCGTTATCACGCAGTCAATGACATAATTTACGCAGAGTCACCGCATATATTGAATCCTCCCATTGAAAATGATAAATGGAGGCATAGTGAATAATTTCCATAGCACAGTTCGTGCAACTGTCATTGCAACCCAGACTATACTTTGTCCATGCATAGCAATGTTTTCATGATTCTGTCAAGATAGGACAGAAGTGTATTTCGAAGATTACATGAAAATGTTCTGGTAAAGCTAGAAGTAGAAAAATGCTAAACTAATTGTCTTTAATTTGTCGAAGACGGTCCACCACATATTCTGGTAGTATTGCCTCGTTATCACGCAGAGTCAAAAGGTGGATCAAAAATTGCCTCCGGAGGTAGTACGGGTCCTGCGAAAGTTAGAGTATTTTCTTTATAGCTTTATGAGGACATATTTATGGTGGAGTGCGGTGTGTGCGGATATGAAAGCATTATGTACCTCTGTAATAGGGTTCAGAAGACGACGACCATCGTAGTTCACCATAAAGTTGAATACGTAAAAGCCACAGTCAACCCTGTATGTTTTTGAGAAAGTAGTGTCAGTACAAGCTTTGGGTTGGTTGTATTTCGTTTGTTTTAGGAGTCACTCACCCGTTCTGCTGCTCTGGTATATTTTCAACTGTCTCAAAGTCCCAATTAAGTATGTCCATGTTCCACCCTGGAGATGCAAGACGCATGCATTCCATTACACACTGTGACACCATGATCTTTATCTTGTCATGCCTGGTGAAACGTGATTCCCCTAGTGGATCTTCTGTGTTTAGTGAATCAAGCACCGATAACTTCTTGCTCTCCATGTTAAATACGTACAGCACGTAATGATTGAATAGGTGAACAGGAATCAGTATCTGCAAAGTTTAGGTTTTTCAGTGGGACTACTTCTGTACTATTGTTTACAAGAGTTTCTACAATCTACGAACTGCAAATTTGTACTCACCAGGTGGCTTTCTGAAACATCATATACTACCTCTGGGCCCGAGAAGTGTGCAAGTTGATGGCTAGCTTCCCAAAATTCCTCACCAGCTAGCGCGTACATCTGACAATACAAAAAGAATCATTGAATTTATATTTTTATTGATGAAAGAAATATATTGTTTATTGCATGCAATGTTACCCCAAAATCTTGGTTAATGAAATGCCTCCAACCAAGGTAGTTTGTGTTGTGAAATCTCTCAACTTCTTGTTGGAACATTATTCGAATTGCAAGGTTGAGAGAATCTGAATCCATTTGGCTCCCAATCTTTATAGTTTCTTGGATGTTTCGTAGCGTCAATGATATTCTGAAAGGATGGGAGCTCTGCAGCCATGTTTTTCTGAAATAAACCATGGATAAAAATGAATGTCAGATTTGGTGGGGTGAGATGCTTAATTATTCTGGAAGAAGAATGATACTTACTCTAATGATGCATCGTCAGAAATAGACATTATATAGGAATACAGGTCGTCAGCAATCCTGGATTCCAGCCTCTCCGTTGAGCATTGCTTTGACATGAAAGGTGACATGAGCTTCCTGTTTGGTTTGACTACACGCTTTGACTTGTGCTTCAGCAAGTGAGATGGTGGGTTTTCAACGGTGTATTTGCGCTTCTTCTGCCCGTCGCTACCGAATTCTTCAATTAGCATAATGGAACATTGATTAGTCATGCGAGTTCCCGACGTAGGCGATACTGAAGAATTTGGCCTTTTTTTCGAATCTGAAAACATTCGCATGATCAGGAGTAAACACATTGTTGGTTGGAATTTTTAATCTTTTGGTACACCAACCTGGAGCTCCATTAGATTTTGGAGGAGTACACTGCAAGCCTCCAATTTTGTGATCATATTGTTGGGTATCTGATACATGAAGAGCGTCCGAAAATTTGTTAGAGTGTCAAGTAGTACGAGTTTTATTTTTAAAATGGTGTATGTACTCAACGTTACCTGTTGGTTGATCCAATTGACTAGCATCTTTTGTAGCATGTGTGGAGTAGTTTGTGGGTGTGTGGTATCCCATGGCAGTTGTGTCTCCCCATGGATGGAGAGGCCCTTGTATATCCTCAATGGTATCAATAACTTTCGTTACTGCTGCCCTTATCGCTATCTTAACTACCGCTGTAATATTAGTCTTGAAAGCTCTCTTGAATAGGTTAGATGCGTGAATAGCAGTTTGCATGGTGCTTATGTCGACGAAATCTGATATGGTAGGCAAAATCTCATCGATGCGGTCGAATCCATCCTGAACGTAAGATTTCAACTCCTCGTATGCCTGTTTTATGTTATCATATATACCACATGTTAGTTTAAAATCCCTTGATCATGTGAAAATTACAACTTAATGAAGAAACAATCAAGTAACATAGCATACGGATGGTTGACATACCTGTGACCCGACAGTTCCACGTACGTCTAACGAAGAGAAGTGTGATTCCAGGAATTTTATTAAATTTTTACCGCCATCAATGGCTCTAGATGGGATCTTCGAACCGGAGCATAAGTTTAGGGGAGATAGCTCTGGTACATGGGGGTTGTTTTCTCTTGGTTCCTTCATCAACTGAACAGCATGTATATCGGAAATTAGCTAAATTTTGCAGCCAGAAATAGGCATATTACAGCCAGGGTATCGTACATACCTGGAGTTTCCCATAACGAGGGAAGGGGAATCCTGGGTTATGTTTACTAACTACATCTTGTTGAATCATCCTAGCAATTTGATCATCCTCAAACTGAGAAATGTGACATGTTTTAACACATGTGATCCCAACCTTCCGGAACTGGAGATTTCTCAAATATTTTACCTGCAAAAATGATTCACAATGACAATATGTGTGTTGATTGTATGCTGCATTAACAAGTCAGTTTTAAATGCTAACCATTAGAAAGATGATACACCCGTTAATGGATAGTTGAGCCTTATTCGGAAAGCAGGTGGGCATTGATTCTGCTGCTTTCTTCACCTCATCTACAACGAATTGGGACCAGTTGTACTGTTTTATATTGTCAACATCAGAAACAGCCATAATATACCTAGGAGATATGAAGTTTGCGCAGGATTGCGGTGCCAAAAGCTTCGTTGTGACATAAAGCACAAAAGCTGCCATGAAAACCCTCTTTTCATCTATTGTCATGGGATAACCATACTGCTTCTTTAGGATTCTCTCTAAGAGTGATATTTTCAGGTGTGAAAAGTTTGGTATCTCAAATATTTCGCACAATATTTGTTTCTTCCCATCCAATTCATCTTGAGAGCAAGGGATAATAGGTTGACCTGAGCATGGCAAGCCAAAAACTGCATTCACATCATTAGGACCGAATGGCAACTCCTGGTTGACATCTTTAACAATAGCGCATGATTTCGGATCAACTTTGCTCAGTAGCCATGCACCAAACTGCCTGTTTACCTTAGTAAGCTTGATATCCAAAAGTCCATCAAACCCAACTTCACCAATCAACTCCTTCTTCCTATCATCGAATTCTTTAATGATATTCACTACGCATTTGGGCTGACACCTGCAGTTGATACCAAAGGTAGTGTTGTCTTTCTTCTGTCTATTTAAAACTCTGCTTTGCCGATACCTGGATACCACCCGTGCAGCAGTCTTATTTAGGCTGCCCCTTGTGCCAGAAACCTTCAAAGCCTGCAGATAATTAGTTTTTCATTTCATAAATAGACAATACTACATGGACCAGTGTATTTAAAAATTCAACATATACTTCTATTTTTTTTAAAAAAACAGCATACACTCATATATGTATGGAAAGATGAATTACAAAATACTGCGTAGCAAATTCTACCTATGTGTACCCTCTTAATTAAAAAAAAATCATGTGCACTGAAAGAAAAGTCAGTATATGCAAAGTTTGGAGAATATTACTGTATGTAAAAAATCAGCATATACCTCTCTATGTAAAAGTGCAGTATATACTTCTTCGTAACAAGGTCCAGTATGTAAACCACTATGGAAAAGCCTCTGTATATATGTGGAAAAATGCAGTATATGCTATCTTCTAGAAAAGTTCAGTATGTACCACATACAAAATTCAGTACATACTATATGCTGTCGTATAACAAAGCTCAGTACAAAGCCTCCCATAGAAAAATTCAGTATATCTGTGAAAAATTCAGTAAATACTGGTGCGTATCAAAGTTCAGTCTATGAATCACTGTGGAAAGATTCAGTATAGATGTGGAAAATGCAGTATATGCTATCGTCCAACAAAGTAGAAAATAAAGCTCCCCACGTAAAAATTCAGTATATACTATTGCCTAACAGAGAGTTCAGTAAGAACCCTGCCACACCAAAAATCAATACTTAATACCGTCTAGCAGATTCCAAAAAGTTTCCCTCCAAAGAAAAAATGAGTATATACCGTTGAAAATTCAGTACGTATTACCATCTACATTTTTCTTTATGGGGGTGGGGGCTAAAACAGCATTAACTTCATCCTCCCAAAAAACCATCATATGCACTAAAAGGGGAAAAATTAGCATCTGAAACTGAGAGAGTACATGAACCGAACTACACCTAATCCCTCTCTACAGGCATACATGTATTCAATTTCAGGTGGCATACCTTGGACTGTGGTGACAAACTAATTTTCCTGTGACCCTGCGGCAAAGAAGAAAATTTTAGGCAACGTGTCTTGATCTTGCCGTACAAAAATAAACGAATACTAACCTGCTGCTTTGGATGAAATCCACTGCTATGGCCCATCGATTTTGCCATTGTTGCCCCGCTCCTGCATTCAGCCGACTCTAGATCGATTACTTCTGCTTCAGGAACACATGCTGTTGAGAGAGGATCCATCGCTGGAGGAAGGGGAGGAGTCATCACTGGAGGAAGGAACGAACTGCTATCTCTGTACCGCCGCCAGCCACACAGTCGCCGCTGAATCGCTGGTCCGTCGCCGCGCTGCCCCCCAAAACCCCGAAAGTTGAATCGCTGGTCCGTCGTCGCGCAGGTCCGTCGCCGCGCCGCCCCCCAAAACCCCAATTTTCGGGATAATCTGTTTGGCCTGTTGGGAGCAAACCCCAAATTACGGGATAAGCAGTCCGGTCTTTTAATTAGAAAAACTAATCGGATCCACCGAGCCAAACCCGTTATGATGAGGGAGGGAGTACATATCTGATCGATCAGATGAACGGTGGATGGGAGAGGGAGTACGTACTCCCTAGGAGTATAGAACCATTTTCCTATATATATATATATAATATATATATATATATATATATATATATATATATATATATATATATATAGAACTACTATACGGCGCTACAGGCGCCACGTATTAGATGGTGCCTGACACAATTAACACCCCTGCCCCATCCCCCACGCATATTCAATTTAAACAGACCACATAGTTAATTTTTAACTCATCGACCTACCACCCCGCCACCCCCACGTGAACTCGATTTGGTGCAAGCTACACAGTTAACTGTTAACTCAACCACCCACCCCTACGCGCAAGTTAAATTTTAACTCAGCGACTCACAACCCAACCCTTCCCCCACAAGCACTCGATCTAGTGCATACCACACAGTTAAATTTTAACTCAGCTACCCACAACCCACGCGTACTCGATCTAGTGCATACCACACAGTTAAATTTTAACTCGACATACTGACTCTATCTTGTATATATATTACGGATTCCCATCTTAGAAATCGTCTACCCATTCTTTCCTCTTCCTCCCCACATTTTACGGATCAGCAACGACTTGTGGTTCCTTGTGCAGAGAGGAGGAACGGCGATGGCGATTAGGGGATGAGGAGTGGCGGCGAGGCAGTTCCGATGATGGCTTGGCGACGAGGAGGACCGGTGGCAGTTTGGGGATGAGGAGGACCGGCGTCAAGGAGGAGCGGCGGATCCGGTGGCGTTGAGGTGCGTGGACGGGCGCGATAGTGGTGCGGTATCGACGGGTGACTGTGGGCGGGAGGCGATGCGGCGGTGGATCCGGCTGCCGCTCTGCACCCCATGCACGCGGATCCGGCTACAGCGGCGCGGATCCAGCGCGGTTGTGGGCGGCGCGTCCGCGGATCCGGCGCCCCCTTCCTCCCGCGTGGATCCTGCACGGGTGAAGACTATGGGCAGGAGGCAAGATGGCGGCAACCTTCGCGGTGGTGAGCTTGTCCTCCGGCATCCATGGAGCAGCGGCGGGCATCCATGGAGACGGCGGCACCGAGCATGCCTCTCTCCGAGTTTTCCATTTTCATCTTCTTCACCGGCGGAAGGAGCGGCCACCGCCCGTTGTTTCCGTTCTCAATCTGGAAACCACCGAGAGCCACCTTTATTTCCATTCGACAGATCCAGAAGGAGAAGAAAGCTGCCAGGATCAACAACACAATCAATCAATTATTTTCCTGATTTTGGTTGGACGTTGTCCTGTTATTTGATCTCACCGATGTGTTATTGCATTATTTGTGTGTAATTAGTTTCTAATACATGTGATTCCTATATGATTAGATGCATCCGGACATCTTGCAAAAAAATTGCAATCTACGTATCAGTATATTGACAATTAAAAAAATACTATATGTAATGTTTGGAGTAAAATATTTACTATTTATAATTTGTCAGTAAAAGTAACTAAATGATCTACGATAGTTGAATCTGACCATACCTAAAAGAAATAGAAATTCCGTTCCTGTGGAGAGAAAACTAAATTTAGGTGTACAAGCATTATTTTCGGATCAAGGACTCTGTTCATTATCCACCAGGACCACCACAACAGGATGTATCGCATGAAATGATTTCGCAGCTTATGGAATTAACGCCAAATCAATGCACGCTATGATTTCGCAGTTTCTGGACCGGCGGATCCGGCGACATGGAGTTGAGTTCTATCCGGTGAATTAATCATTAGTTAATTTCCATCGATGTAATTTCCAGGGAGATGTGCATCAAAACAATAAAATTCTAATAATAAAGTGTGAATTACGTCACACATCGCCATCACCGCCTAATGTCTCAAAGTTTTTCATCTACTCGTACCAGTTTACAATAAGTTAAAATTTAACTCATATTCCTTGTCATCAGAAACAACACACATCCATAAAAAAAGAATCTACCAATAAATTTTTAACTACCACCAACTGTAATTTTAAGTTAATGACAGCTCATTCATACAGCTAGAACATAGGTAAAATTTTAACTCAACAACGAAATCACCGCAGCGCATCATCCAACATAGTATTAGTTAAAATTTAACTTCACATTTGGTTTTGTTTGGTACGGTGGGAGAGGGTTCATTGCTTCACGTTGCGCCACGTTTTTCGCAAGTTACTTTTTAACTCCATAGTCCACAGTCCGTTGGTTTGGTTTAGTGGGCAGTGTTTTCATTTGCGCCACAATTTCTGCCAGTTAAATTTTAACTACCCAGTACCTTGGATAGATTTGGTGGGCTGACATCGCCTCGTTGTGTGTGGCGCCATTTTGTTCCGTGGCGCCAGTGCCTGTGTGTGGTGCTGGGTAGCGCCACTGTATATATACATATACATACATATATATATATATATACACACATACATACATACATACATACATACATACATACATACATACATACATACATACATACATACATACATACATACATACATACATACATACATACTGACGGAGCGTGGGGCTCCTCACCGGGAGACCGCGCAGGCCCCCCTTTGCCGGTTCGGCCGGGGGCGCTAAGTGAGGTTCTTCGCCCTCAATCTGAGGAACGTCAGCGAGAGAGGAAATGCACAAGACACGGGCGACGTAGACAGGTTCGGGCCGCTGAGAAGCGTAACACCCTACTCCTGTGTTCTGGTGGATCTGTGCGTGAAGGAATACAGAGAGCCGGAGAGCGAGAGAGAGTTTTTTTGCTCTAGAACCCCTTTTTCCCCAGGCCTGGGCCTCCTTTTTATCTGGTAAGGGGTCACCACATGGGCCTCTAGCTGCCTAAGAAGGGAAACATGCTTTTTTACAATGAGGGCTAGTCTACAGCCGGAAGTGACCTCTGACAAGCAGAGCACACGCCTCCTGCCCCGCTCGCCTGCTTTCCCGGTGGACGCCCATTTCAACCTTCATTTAATGGCCAGCGACTTCCTTGCCATGCTTGCGCTGAAGCCTGGAATGGATCTGACCGGGACTGACATACCAACTCCAGGAGTTAGCACGCCGGCTCCGGCTAGGGACGAGAGCCAGGAAGCTCTCATCATTCCGACGGGACGGGGCGAGGCGTGTGACAGGCCGCCTGTTGCCACCTAACCCGCGATCTGACCGGTCTGTGACCGGTCACACACCGCGATCGGTCACGGACCGGATAAGCGTGCGCTGCGCCGCATTAAATGCGGCGTGGCGCGCTCGTCCAACCTGCTATAAATGCGGTTAGGTGAGCCCCGCTGTGCTCACCTAACCCACACACGTGGCGCCGAAACCACAGGGGGTCGGGGCGCCCCAGCCCTCGGGGCCGAAACGGGAGCGGTCCGACCCCTCGGGGAGACAGAGGGAGGGGTGGCCACGTCATCCTCGGGCCCAACCCCCCCGAGGGGGTCAGGCCACGTGGGTGACCGCGGCTACCCAAGCCTCTAGTCACGATACCCCCGGCCCCATGTCACCGACAGTAGCCCCCGGCGTTACGC